GCAAAAGTGGGAGACTTCGAGTGGAATTTCTTTTGGGGAAGGTTTAAAGAAGTTGGTTAGAGTAGGTCCATAAGTGTTTTTTACTATGCTTTTTTTTTTTCTCCAACTTTTCTCTTTTTTTTTTTAATTAAATTTTCAATCTTCAGCCAAAAAAAAAAAAATAACCATATGATCTTTAATTCATAATAGTCTCAAATTTTTTAAAAGAGTGTCAATATGATCTTTTAGATAAAAATAAGAAGAAATTATAGATAAGCATAATGCATTTAGAATTATTATTCTTTATAAATATATCAAAATATATTTATTAAAAAATAAACTTTTTAAAAAGTAAACAAGAGTATAATATTTTTCTTTGTTTTTAAAAAATCAACTTAAAATCAATGGTAAAATGATACTTATGTTTTTGCTTAATAATTATAAATTTTTTTAATAAATACATTTTAGTATGATAAAAAAAATTCTAAATCTATTATCTTAAATTTATTTTTTTTATTTTTTTATTAAATTTTATTTCCCCAATATTTATAAATTTTAATTAAAAAATTTAAATTGTATTAAAAATAAAGCTAAAAATTATTTTTAACAAAACGAAATAAACATACCAAAATAATTTAAATATATTTATTAGTAAAAAATAAAAAAATTAAAAAAAACTTTTTAAAAAGAAATGAAAGTATTATTTTTCTATGAATTTTAAAATTTTAACTTAAAATCAAAAGAAAAAATGGTCCCTTATTTTTTTCGTAATAATTATAAAAGTTTTATTTTTTAATAAATACATTTTTTATGATAGTAAAGAGTAATAATTCTTGATCTATTATCTGATTCTATTTCTTTTTTTTTTAATTTTATTAAATTATATTTCCTTAATTTTTACCAATTTTGATAAAAAAAAATACAATTAAACTCTATTAAAAATAAAGTTAGAAATTATTTTTAACAAAAAAAGAAAAAATGATACATACCCGAATAATTTCAAGTCTCAAGTGGTTGATATTTATTTTTTCCAAAAAAAAAAAGAAAAGCTTGTATATACTTAATGTCTTAATTAATAAAATTTACGTTCTAACTATAATTTTAAACTTAAATAGTAAAGAAATAAAATCATGATAGAGCTAAAATTATTACTTTTTATTATCATATTAAAATATATTTATTAAAAAGAAAATAAAAATTTTAAAATTATTAAAGAGAGAACTAAAGCTGCATTTTTTTCTCTAAATTTAAGTTCAATTTTGAAAATTAGAGACAAAAATGATAGTTTTATTTCATTATTAAAAATTTTAAAAGTTTTATTTATTTTTTTATAAATATATTTTAGAATAATAGAAAAAATAATAATTCTGAGTTTATTATTTTAAGTTGCAATTCTTTTTTATTTTTGTACAAAAATTGATTAAAGAATCATATTAACACCATTTTAAAAAATTTAAAGCTATCCCAAAATAATTTAAAATTTAAAAATCAAAATAAAAAGTTAAAAACTACAAATACATTTTACCCTATTCTTTAATATTAAAAATTAATCAACTGCAAAGAAAAATTCAAAACGATAAAGGCGACATTTGAAATAACCTTTGAATCCAATCACAGGCTTTTCGTTTTTTTTTTTTTTTTTTGAATGTCCCTTTGACTGCTATCATATTCTCAAAGCGAATAATCTCTCCAACATTTGGTGATTGAAACGACTTCTCTTTCGACGTTTTCTGCTCGTTTGATCGTAGCAATTTCAAGGTTGAAGATGCGTGGATGCTTTAGCTCAACAATCTAAATATTCATTTTTGCTAAGTATATATTATCTCTTTTAATTGATCCAAATTTATAATTTTAATAATTAATTTAAAAAATAAAATTCATGGCTTAGGTAAACTTGATCAAGAGTTTCAAATCCAATTCATCAAATTTTCTCCTAAAATAGGATAATGCATTAGGCTTAATCTAAAGTCAAAAAGCTCATGATTCACGTCGATGAATATTAAATTTTTTTAGTATAAAAAATTTATATACGTTAAAATTAAATTTTAAATTTGATAAATTTTATTTCTTAAAATTATTTATATGAATCAAATGAATTAAACTTTGATTATAAATAATTTAATTAACCATTAAAATTAAAAGTTATTGCACAGAGCATTTTTGGTTGATTTGGTTTTGGGTTTATTGTTATTTTTTTTCTTGTAACATTAATCACATAAAAGGGGCATAGGCATTTCATAAAATGACATGTTGATTTTCTAGCAATAGGAATTTTAATTTTTGAGTTTAGCTTTGCCTCTTGAAAATAATTTTCAAATGATTTTTTTTAAAGGTTGAAAAAGATTGTGATTTGTAAGTCCATCAAAGCATTTGCGCATTCAATTAATCATTTTTTAACATTGAGTAAGTATTATTATTGGTGCGATTAGCAGTTAATTAATGATTTATTTGTTCATCTTTTAATCTACTCTTTTTTTTTTCATTCAATATTGGCCTTCTTTTGAGTTTGATTAAATAACAGTAATCCGATACATCATGTGTAAATGGCAGGCAAATCATAACAAGAGAACCATTTTCTATTTTATATAAAATAAACAAATGGCCAGTGCAATTATTTTATTTATTTATAATAAAATATTCAATCAATTCATTAAATTTAATAATTTAAAATACGATATGATGACACGATATAAATATGATTCAAAAAATAAATATAAAAATTATACAATTTAAAATTTTAATAATAATTATATATGAATTTAACAAAAAAAATTTATATTTTCATATCATTACAAATTATAATATGTAATTTTTATATAAAATATTATACAAATATATAAATTTTAATATTTTAAACGACACAAATATATAAATCATCACATCTACAATTTACCTAAATAATCACTTCCCAATCATCATTTTACTAAATTTGTTTATTATTTTATAGAATTGTTGTGCTGCGTTTATGAAAAGGGTTTGGAGTGGAGAATATTGATGTTATCATATGTTAAATTTTGTTAATAAAACTTCAGAGTACTCTTTTGGGCATTTGTATTCAAATGATAATGTTAATTATTTTGGTTGAGAGAGCAAAGTAAGCATGCTCCGTACTCATTACCCAGCTTTGCATGGTGGATGCCATCCTATCATATATATGTATAAACTATATCCTATCAAAATTGAAATTTCATTGAAATGCAATTATGACTTAAATTTAAGATTTTTTTTAATTCAAATTCTCACTTAATTTTACTGGTTATAAAAAAAAATTGTATTTATCAAACATTCATCTCTCGGGCCTTCAACCTCACTTCTCTTGGTTGGACTTTTAGGCCGTGAAAGAGGGTGGTCTTATCCAAGTTCCTGCTTTTGGGCCTTCACATTGATTCTGATAGCTTTTCAACCAAATTAAACACCCTTCCCCCCCACATTTGTTTTCATTTTTTCTTTCAGAACAGATGGAAGAAATGGGGATTTGAACTTGGATGTTTTAGTTTAGGAGGAAATTATGTGTTTGCTATAGTCCACCAAAAAGAAAAAGTTTAGTTGAAAAAAATCGAATATTTTATTTATAAGATTTAAATTCATTTTCTATTATCAATAATACTCTAATTGAATAATCTGTAAATTCAATATAAAATTTTACGAAAATTTATGATTTACTATGACATAATATCCGTGAAAGGAAAGAAATAATACTTTCATGCCAATATAGTCAACATATTTACATAAAAATAACATGAAAAATGAATATGAGAACATGGATCTTATCCATAAGCATGTTAGGCAAAATGTCAAGACAAATCAATTCTCAAGTCGTTTCAGTTCTTTTCGGTCGATTATTCAAAACCTGAAAAACGTTTAAAGACTATCGAACAAGTCAGCAAATTAAAATACTTTTAATATGATCAGCCAAATGACTAGAATCCGATTCTGCCATATTTGTTCTTTATTTGAGGGTACTTCTAACTTCTAAGCTATAACCCGATCCTATCAAATTTAAAGATATATTCACCTAAACTGATTGGTTTTCATTTCTCATCTGTCATCTCGACCCTGCTTCAATGTGGTTGATCTTCTCCCATGCATTGCCCCAAATGTTTCCCAAACACACCAAAACTATTGTAAGGTTTATTTTGTAACATATATATATATATATAATTCGAAGAAAAATTTTAAATCTAAAACTATTGTATGGTTTTATATATATAGCATGTTGGAATCTCAAATGTCTCACATTAAGGATTGGAATGATTTGGTCAGCTTACAAAAACAGGGTTATGGTGTTGTATCATTCTAACTAAGAGCATAAGGGTGCATTTTCACTTAGCCCAATTGACCAGCTCCAACTTCATTAAAGCTTTTATCTCTCGAAATTTCAAATCAGTTGGTGAAATAATCCTAGCAATAATCTCATTTGGTGATTGTACTCAGATTTTGGTTTGGAATTTTACAAGATTATGACTTAAAAAAAAAAAATTAACCTTTCCTATGAAGTCCAATCACTAGCAGGCTAACCCACCCCACCAACTCCATGGCCCCAAGTTGGGGGATAGTTCTCCTCAAATTAATACTGATGCACATATATATATATATATATATATGTATATATTCCCCCACAACTTCCTTCTTTTTTGTTTTCATGACCCTCCTTACCTGCTCTTGATCTGATCTTAACCTTATACAATAAATGTAAAGCACCTAACCTTGAAGAATCCTAGGTAGTTATTTAGAATTCCCCTCTTCTTGGACCAATAACATAGGTCCTATGTTGTTTTTTGCTCATTCCAAATTAATGTATCTACCTTCAAATTGATTCACCACTTTAACCAAATGAAAACTAGGTGAATAATGAGGCCCTACCAACTTATTTCATTCTTTAGTTAACTTTGCCAAAAGTTATAGTCTAATATTAAGAGTGTACAGTAATTTTAATGATCAAAATTTAATTCATCAAAATTTTAAATAAAAAAATGAATTAACTTTATTATTAACTAATTAAATTTAATCCGATTAAATATTTGAAAGCATCTACATTTGAGATTATCGTACACGTTAATTATTTTTTGAAATTAAAGAAAAAATTCGTTCCATTCTAATACGTGTGTGACAAGAACTTGAAGGAGATATGATTAGCCGCAGGGTTTAAAGATACCCGTTTTTCACGCCATATATGAACAGGAAAAAAAATAAACCTGAAAAACTAACATTATTTTAGAAAGAAAAACAAAGAAATTGTGGAAGCCAATGAATGGACTTTGTGCTTATGCAAACGCGTTATCCCAAGTCAACCAAAGCTTGAGCAATTATTTTTTCTAGATCAAATCATCCAATTTTCTAACAGTAAACCATAGTTTTTTACAACTAGCTTTTATACTTTCTTCCATATAGAATATGGAACATTTCCATTCAAAAATATTTCCGACCGCAAAACAATTTGGAATCTGAGATATTTCAGTACCATTGGAAGGCCTAGGATTTGACCTAAACAAATCTGTTGGGGAAAGCTAGCATTTTTTTTTTTAATTTAATTTCTCTTACCCCAGCTGTAATATGATCAGTGGAAGCATCCTGGTGACGATTACCTGGCAAATTCTGATCCTGGTGACTACTTTCCCCTAATGACTATTAACTAAACTAAATGCATTGTAGCGATTTTCGAATATTAGAATTTTTAACCATATGCACCAGATGGAAAACGATATCCATGATTTTTTTTCTATCATTCCAAAAGTTTCTTGCAAATTACACTGGTTTTATCCGTTTGGAACGAGGGAAAATTAGAAAAACATGTAGTAGTTGTAAAAGTAGTAAATGAAACGACCCTTGTTCTCTGGCATAGTCCGCCCTAGTTTAATTCCTCATCTCCATTGGATCCATTTATTGAATCCCCAATATATATTTTTGTCTATTTTCTTTTTCTGGGACCAAAATAAAATTCCCCACAAGAAGACAAAACAGTGACCATCTCTGTAGTTTCATTTTCAGATAAGCATTTTGAGTTAACTTGAAACCTCATCCAAAAGCTTGTATCTTCTTACCTTGTTTCTGAACACATGCCTTGTAATGAGGGCGCTATTTGATATCTCTTCTGACTTTAATCTCCTAAGCTTTTCTTCTAAACGGGCGTGCGTTATGATCCTTTTTCGTATCGTACTTGGCGGTAATTTCTCTGCTGACTTCGGATTCTTGATGGGGTTCTTGATCGGTTGCGGCTTTAAGTTGTTGTTTCTTTGGCTTCCTTTTAAGCCTGCAGCACCATGGTTATCACCCTTCTTCTTGTTCTTGCTATCGTCATTGTTGTTGCCTTTACATGATGCTGAAGAATTAGAAGAATTTTGAGACTTCTCCTTTGAATCCTCCTTTTGATTCAAACACCAATTACAAACTTTATAAGACTCGGCTTTTGGATACATATTGCTACAGTATCTGCCAAAAAAAAGAAAGCCAAAAACCATGATCATCTTGATCATCTCTCTCCCAAGAAAGAAAACAGAAGAAAATTTTTAAAAAATGGATCCCCATAAAGGAAAACAAAGAAAACTTGAGGGTGGGGAGATAAAGCTATACCTGTGTTGAGATCTGAATTGGCAAACTTTGCACTGAAAAAGCTCATGAGTTAGACCACAATCTCCACACATGCAACACTCGAGGAGGCTTGATTGCTGTGATATTGGCACAATCTCTTCCTTATTTGCTGTCATGTTTTGGCTTCATATGTGACAGAGAAGAGGAGAAAAAGAGAGAAAAAAATAATTTTAAGGGGTAGAACAGATGGGCCACGCAAGGGAAAAAAAGAACGCATTAATGGAGGTTGGATATCATTTACGATGTCACCCAAAAATAGAATGCATGATTGAGGTTTGGGGATTGGCTTCGTGGGTCTGAAATATGTATATATAGAGCAGTTGATAGCAACATTCTTTTCTATAAAATCCTTGGAAAATTTGTTTTGGCCCAAAATTAATGACAAGAAAGTCATAATAAAAGAAGAGTAGTTGGAAGAAAAAGAAGCTTATTCGTTAGGGAAAAAATATATACAATATGGGCCATACATATATATTGTAGATTCGTCGAGGCTTGCTACTTTAGAAAAAATCAAGAGTGATATATAGTAAATTGATCTCTGTCACATCACGAAAAGAATCACAAAAATGAAATAAAACCTATGATCATTATACGGCTAAAAAAAGGAGTTTAAGTTTGATTTTTTTTATGCAAAGAATCGATGGAGGGTAGCAAATAAACATGGGATTTGGGAATCAAAATAAAAAAGACATGCCCTTTGCAAATGGTGATTGTTTTTTATCAAATGACATGGCATGGGGTGGTTTTGCATAGTTACCATCAATTGTGCCATTAAAAGAAAGCATTTAACCGTTAATGGCGTGTAGGGTAGGGTAATTGGTGATCGGCACTCTCATATGAAGGGAAGGGCCGTGATCGAGAGCTTAAGTTATAGTTACAACCACTCATCCGTTACCACTTTAATTTTTTTAAGGTTTATAGCCAATAAATAGGGTTGTTGATGACAAACTGAAAGTTGGACATCATTACATTAAATTACGCGTTTGGGGTTGATGAGAAGGTTAATTTATATACTAATTTTGCTTATAAAGAATCATAGATTTTTTAGTGATAAAAAATTTTTAGACCATCTCAATCTCTAATTTTTTGGTTCATTTAAATAGGTTAACAAACATATCACATCAAGTGTGTTAAAAAAATGAATAGAAAGTATCATTTTCATATCATATAAAAAAAAGAAAATATCATTAAACATATAAACATTGACATTACATATCTTAATAAATTAATTTTACAAGAAAAAAGTAATGATTACGTGACTTATAGACTTAGTAGATTTATAATAAATTTTCTTTTCACACCTTTCCAATTTCAAACTCAAACAATTAAAAAAATATTTTTATCACTTAAACCAAAAATTCAGGAATAATCTTAATATTTTATTTATTTGTGAAAGAAAAATTAATTTAGAGATGCTTGTGGGTACATGTCACATGATATATATATATATATATGAAAATTTTGATTTCCAATATAGTAATTGCAGTTTAACTTATCAAAAAATATATTATTGTAAGATTTGGTGCATAAAAAAAAATTATTATTGATGTGCACATTATTCATGAACGCACTTGATGAATCCTAATATTGGAAACTGATTCAACATGATATAAAATACTAAAGAAATTTCTCATACAGTTATGGTAAGATTTGTGGTAAAAGATTTGCATAACAAATGATCATATCAGTATATAAGGAACAGTCCACATTTTAATTCATTTTCTCTATAAAAATGGGTTAAGGTTAACAAATTGAAGGACCCAAAGCCCCGTTATATGAAACTGTTGAAGTCAGTTGTAAGGAATTTCTTTTTTTTTTTTCCTTTTTCTGAGAGTTTTCGAGTACTCTTTGAGTTCGTTCAATAGACAATATGGGGGCGTGTATCAATGTGTTTAAAATCGTATGAACATGACATGAAAAAATTAGAAGAAGAAGAAGGTGAAAAACCTGAAAAGAATACATTTACTGTAGTGAAGACTGTGTAATTGCCTGACTACCAGCTTGTGTCAGACTGTCATGTGCTGCACGTGTAAATACGTGTTTCCTAAATGTTTCAGCTTATCATTTATTCCTCCCATCAACGACTTTGGGTAAGTTGAATAGCACCAATCCAATACCCAGAAAATTTTTGGCAAAATAAAACCTTCGATCACGCAAGAATTTTCGGGAAAGCTACGTTGTATAAAGTGTTTTAAAAGATTCTTTCATATTTTAATGATCTTTCACAAACACAACTCTCAAAAAGTTAATAAAGATTCTTTTACACATATATTTCTTATATTACTAGTTCGAGCAGAGAAATTTCTTAGCTGCATGCACTCCGAAGAGTTTGAGAGCAATGCAAAAGTATCGTTTAAAACTCATATAACATTATTGTTATAATAAAAGAGTTTTGGCCGACAAAACAACTAGAAATCTTAATGAAAATAGTAAATAACTATTTTGCATCGACAAACATTTCTTTCCGATCAAAGCCACAAACCCATCGACTCCGCTCCGCTCTATTAGTTTTTCTAACCACTTCCTATTCCCAACACGTAACGTTGGAAAGTAGATGTTTTAAAGTATAGAGCACAAGCATGGCCATTAGAATTCGGCTGCTTTAAATTATCAAATTCAAAGGCATCCCGAAATCAAGAAAGAGACCAGACCCCACTCCACTCTACCGCTGTTTGATCATTTAAGAGATTCTCAAATTCCCTTTGAAGAGGTCAAGGCACAGATTCCAGCCAAATGAATAATTCAGCAACTAAGACGGAGACTGAAAACAAGGCGGGTGTAAAAATAACATTTACACTGAAATGACAAGCATCCTCAACTATATACAGGAACATCTCCAACGATGGACAGACAAATCATACGCTCTTCGAGAAAAAAATGCAAATAGGGAAAGAAAAACGAATATCTACATCAAAAAACTGATTTGAGATACTTTACAATTAATTAAGGGGACTTGGTATACTTCATTCAATCTCTTAATTTATTCTAACAATTCCCAAACGCTTTCAATCATCAACTAATTTACGAGGCTTCATAATTCAACGTACCTCCTCCTCTAGATCATGTGTTACCAAAGATCCATTCTTTTTTGTGCAGTGCTGTCTGCATGACAGAAACCTGAAGGAAAAGAAAAAAAGATGATGCGTTAGAGAACATTCTCAGACCAAATGCCATCAGCTTAGGGTCTTAAGCAGAACATGCTCTATGACAGCGCTAACTAATTGACATTGTACGAATAGTTAGGCATCGCATATATAGGAGATGTAAGCTGAAGTTAGCTACAAGTTTGCCATTGAGTGTAGGCTGTAACCCCATAAATTGAATGAATAATCCTATTGCAGATGTGTTCTTGGGTGGTGTAGCAGTTTCTAGTTTTCTCATCAGTAACATCAAGGAAAGGAAAAATTAAAAAAGAAGGAAGAAAAACTTTAAAATAGAAAAAGGATTAACAATACAAGCTTCTTGTATAGTGGAAAATACAGTGTATGCACACATGAAAAAATGGGAAGAAAGGTCTTTGATTGAGTCTATTGGCTGATTCAAGGAAAAGGATTTTAAAAAAAAAAAAAAAAAACAAAGTTCAGGGCTGTTGCTGGGATCATAGAAATGCATTTCACAGTTCCCTAGCTGGTTCTTCATTGCTCTCTCCATCAATCCAGATACCCCAACTCATTCTTCTCAAGGCATTTTCTCACTTTCCAAAATTTTAGGAGTTCGCCCCGCCATGGATCTTGGTTTATCCAAGGAGAAAAGTAAATTCAAGTATCAACTAGCTTCTGTAATAGCCAAGAACTACAAAAGAAAAAGGACAGAAAACAGGAAAGATGACAATGGAATAGGTCACATGCATCTATGACTATCTATGCGTGCATCAGCATACTAACCTAATTTTCAATGCCTCAATGAGATACCCATTTCCATGCCAATAAATCTTATGCCTCAACTAGTGACATTTTCATCATATTTGCAGGTGAATAAAAATAATTAAATATTCATGAAAATAGTATGAAGACCATTTCTATACAGGCAACCCGTCAACCCACTATATGATTTCCAAGACTTTAAATCAACAACTGATCATGTCAGTATAATGCCATGCAAAAGTCTTTTTCAGTAAATGTAAGTGTAGTTTTGCAAATATTCAGAGGTAAAATACTTAAGAAAAAACCTATTTCAAGAAAGAGGGGTTAGCTACCTGCATACTTTTGTAAGAGCTAAGAAGCTGACTAGCTCTGGGCACACTCAAATGGATGCAAGGGTCCTTCAGAAAATTCTTGCATCCGAAACCGCTCCAAAAGTTCAAAGGGCCTGCAAATAACATTACTGATCATGCAGATAACTGTAATAGGGAAATTTGATTGAAGAAGCATGACTATAAGAAATAAGACAAGAGAACCAAACACTATTTTTTTCAAACAGCAATCAACACTAAAAAAAATGAACTTAAGTTCCACCTTCCTATGTCCTTTTATTTAGGGAACAACTTTTGATGGTGAGACAGCTTAAGCCAATATGTTATTCTAATGGCATTTTCAGGAAACAATGTTGATGAGATGGGGAATTTGTGAGACAGGATAAATATCTATATAAAATTTACATGTTGACAAACATGCCATGTAAAATAAGAGAGTAAAACCTCAACAAGTCAAGTGGACCAACATTTTTTAGTTGAAAGCTTAGCTTTCCAAAGTTCATCATGCCTAAAACCAACCCAGTGAACCTCAGTTAAATTCTGATGACAGAGTCCTGCAAAATCCCATGACTCTAAACCAATTTCAATAAACATAAGAAAAAGTTTGACCACTTTCGAACATGACATACAGAACTATTATAGCACTGTGCTAGTATGAGACAGCATTTATGGCAAAGAGGAGACTAGAGTCACTAGAAACTGAAATCAAAATCTAAATAAATCGAAGTTGAAACTAGCACTCTTATGAGAACTAAACTGACTATATAGTTTTAAATAATCAAATAGAATATGAGCTAAAATTTCAGCTATACAAATTTCATCATATCAAAACAATAGCAGACAAGTTCATCTTGTGAAATAATGTCCTCCCATAAAACCACCTAGAGATTCACAGAAAAGACAGTTGACATATGCCCAGCTGATGGTGCTACAGGGATAAGAGAGGACCGTATATTGTGGGACGAGATATTCAGAATTCAGACATTAGAAAAGAAGAATTTTCCTGGAGTTTATAAAACTATATAATTTGAATTTCCACCTGTGCTCAATAAAAACTTGCATCATAATAAACAATGAGGATCAACTACCAGAATGATCAACCAGAAGAAGACAAGAGAGAAACGGGGGAAGGAAAATGGAAGGTGTAAAATCCGCAATTAATCTTTTCTCATCCAATGCAAGTTTCATTTTAAAAATATAAAGGAACAATATCCATAATGCTTACAGGAAAGCTTCACGATTATGACATAACTTGCGTTGATTACTTTCCATTGCCTCTAATACAGAAGTTTCTGGCCCTGCTGACCCACCAGCAGCAGTCCATAGCTACACGGAACAACAATTAAAATAAGAAAAATAATCTTGAATATTGCATATAATTGAACTCTTCACATAATACTTGATACTCACTTTTATTGTGTTATCAATCCCACTGGTTGCCACAAAGCAATCAAATGGATGGCACTGCACACAGTTTACAACTGTAGAGAAGAGATGTTTTAAAGTGAATAAGAAACCATAGAATGATAGTAAAGCCCACAATCTGCAGGACAGGTTGGAGAGGAGAAATATTACCAGCATCATCTCCAAGAAGCATTTTTATCAGCCTACCAGTCCGCTTTTCCCAAATAAACCACCTCCCATCATCACTCCCACTAGCAACATATTCACCTACAAATCAATCAGAAGTTGTCATGCTAATAGTTACACTACCTAAATTGCATGTACACCAAATTCCACTAGTCATGTGTGACAGTTTTTCTGTAATTTGAACTGATTTCATGAACACCTGATGTTCAACATACAATGAATTAGCAACAGCCACAGAAATAGGATTAAGAAAAAAAAAAAAAGGAAACAAGGTTTCCAGACGTTATAGGGACACTTCATCAGGAAGACTCTTTGAGATGGGCACTAGACAAGTCCAACAACCAACAAATGTTGTGGATTCAATAAAAAACCTTCTAGTCCAGATTCAATGCATATCAAAATGGTCAGGAAACCAGATTCCTTTTGAGACACGTGTGGACTACATTAGAAACATGGTCGCAGAAAAAAGCAATTTATTTCATTTTAATAGTCATTAATCAAACAGAGAATGCCATAACTCTTTTCTATTTATATCATCAAGTGATAGACAGTCAGTCATAACTCCTTTTTGGTTCTCAAAACAATGTTAAAGCTCAACTTCAGAACTAAAATGATGATCCGCAAATAATGTAAGCAAATTTGACTAAGGGTGTAACATTGTGTAACAAATAAATGAAATATAAGGAATAGAATTTAAAAAGAAAGAAAAACTGCAATACACTAATGAACCATAAAGCAAATGCTAAAGAGCTGGCAAAAAACAAAAACCAAAAAAGCAGTACAATTGCAATGGCAGCTAAAAATATAGATAATATTATATGAGAAAAGTACCTCTCTGACCAAGGAAACTCGCCTGTTTGATGTCGGTTCCAACATTGCAGTGGCCAACATATCTCTGCTTCATATCAATAACTGCCTCGGGCTAGAAAAGATATGAATGCATGACATGAAAATTATAAGCAAGAAGAATAATGAAGAATATATCACAAGCAATATGATGAATATTTTGTTGTGCATACATAACAAACTGATTAATTGGAAGTAAACATGAAATGAAAGAAAATTATTTTCCATGCTATATTTACCACAGACCAGTCTAGTGGTGTAAATAATACACCAGTGCTCGCATGTTACTTAGGTGCGGCTCAGATAAAACTCGAATTTGGCTCAATCATTGTCGAGCCGAGCTCGAGCAACTCAACTTATCAAGCAAGCTGGGTTTGAGCATCCTAATGCCCGGCTTGAGTAGCTTGCAAGCCTAATCAAGTTTTTATATTTTAATATCTACTTTTATTATTTTACCCTATATATATATATATATATATATATATATAAATTTGAGCTCGAACTCGAGTTCTAACACGAATAATCAATCTTTAAGTCGAGAATGAGAATCGAGCTTGTTTTTTATTCGATAAACGAGCCTGATCGAATGAGCTTAAATAGCTTAATTTTTATCTCAAGTCAAGTTCGTACTTGACAATTAAAACTCGATTGACTCGAGCTGAGTTTCGAATCGAGCTTAAGCTTCTTACCGTATCCGCTCGGCTCAATTACACAGCCAGTCCTCTGTAGACTTTTCTCTGACACTCAATGGCGGCTTGGTTTTTAATCAAATTATTAATATGCATCACAAGTTGAATCAATAAGCAAGTCGCTAATCTACCTAAGAGATAACAACCAAGGCTAGCAACTTCACCAGTGACACATTTAGACATGCTTTGACAATTAATACTTAACTGGAGTCACTTTCAAGATGATTTCTTGATAATGACAATACTAAATAGGAGACATCTGCTTATCAGAAACTTAAAACATTTGTAAACTATACCCAGGATATGAATGTGAACCTGATAAGCCGCTCTATCAGTTTGCGATGACGAGGACGGAGATGCAAATGAACCATTTCCACAAGTTGCCCTTGTTGAATCAACTCGTCGTTGAATTCTAAGATTTAAACTTCCATGTAGTATATTGGATTCAACATCACGTCCTTCATCACCTGATATTGAAGTTTCAAAATCTAACTCCAGCTCTTCATCATAATCAGAATCTTCTCTTTCAGATCTTAGACCATCTTGTGAAGCATCACTATTAGCTTCCGAGCGATAGAGTATGTCACTCAATGACAATACCCTTCCAGTTCGAGGTTCAGACTTAGATACCACATCACTTGCCTTGTTATTTTTTTCAGCCTCAGCTAATTAAAAAATTGAAATTAGATTAAAGGAAAGATAAAAATTCAGAAAAATTCATAGCCAATCCTAGAGACATTGAGATTTCACATTCTTCAAGGAGACCATTGCAACCCTAGAGAGTGGAGTAAGGAAGTGATGAAAATGAAAAGAGAGAAAATTTCACTCTTTTTCAAGTAATTACTAAAATTCATTCCAGATGCATAATAGAAGAAGTTAGCATACGCAATAACCATAGCAATTCCACATTAGCAACTTAAAAGATATGAACACTACGTATGCTAAAGTACACAGGCCTAAAAGCAAACTTAAGTTAATCTAAGAACAAAGAGAAGACTTAAAAAAGAGGCTGCACGGTGAATTGAACAGAGAAGAAACATCAGGAGTTAAATGCTTCCAGTTAAAATAATATGGCATCTGCCAACCCAAAGAACTGAAGAGAAAAGAAACGTTAGACCAGTATTAATGTTAACTCTGAATACCCAAGAAAATTTCAGTTAACTCACAAACCCAACACTGCCTTTCAGTAACAGTAAGATGAATAACCCATGATAGAATTGCCTAAACATATGATATAGGCAGGACAATTAACTTTGGAGTTAAGAGATAAGACACTTCAATAGGGATGATGATGTGCACGTACAAGAGACAAACCTGCAGCAAGATGTTTTTTTAGGTTCTCCACTTTCTCGGCCGCCATATTATCAGATGGAGATAAACATTGTGCTGAGACAGCAAAGTCTAAAGCTTCTTTATGTTTTCCCAACTGCCAACAATTAGAAACCAAATGACAAAAAACAAAGGCTTAGTTTCATCGACTTTACATGAGGAGATAACCATGCCATTTGTCTTAGATGGTCGCCACTTGCCAATTGAGCCTTCAATGGATCAATTTTAAAAAAATAAAATCAAATAAGAGCAAAAGAGCCAAAGGTAGTTCAGTAAATAATATATTATGATTTACAACTGCCAATTCAACCTAGATATTCAAAAAGGCCGATATTCATTTAGAGAGCAAAACATAGACAAACAAAACTTAATTAATAATTAAGAACAGAACTCACCATTTGGAATCCAAATTACAATTGAATATTTTGTGAAAAGTGAAAACCAATCTGTAACCACTGGCTTTACTTTATTAACAAGCTTCTCAGAATATAAATATTGACTATTGAATGAATGACATTATCTGTATGTAAAATAAACAATTGTTGATTATATTTTTGATTTTTTTCATATGAAAAGAGTTCCACGAACTTAAATTTTGTTTAATGTTAAAAAGTTGCAACACATTTTTTAGTTGCATATCCTGTTATTTAACCACAAAAGCTACCTGTAGATGTAAAGAATTTGAAAGGATAAAATATGGTTGCAGGGCAGAAACCCAAATCCAGGAAGCCACTAACTCAGATTGAAGCTTAATAACTTAAAATCTTCTTGGCAACCCAAAGCACTACGTTAATTGATCAGGTACACCATTGTGTTTATAAACTCCAAATGCACTGCAGATTACCTGTTGTAAAGCCTCAGCCATACAGTAATGAGCTCTAAAGGAAGAACTGTCTATTCTTCGAGCACTATGGCAATCTCTAACGGCAATATGGGCATCATTTTTCCACTTTCGCTGCAGAAGGAAACAAGTTAATATGTTGGCATAATTGCATATCAAATAGATGAAATGGTCCATCAAGTTTAACCCAACAAAGTAATCAATGAACCTTCAGCAACAAGGCAGCACGTGTACAAAAACATTCATGCCTTAGAGTGGGCCCAATGTCAGTAGCATGTCCATCAAAGACTTCATTGCATGCCTCGATTGCATGGAAAATATTTGTCCCCTCCTGTAAGGATCTTTTAGCCATTTCAACCAACATCCTGCATTTTTCAATCTGTTACAGGCATGTTAGGGCATAGCTGAAATAAGTATGGAAGAATAACAAAGTTGCATAACAATACCAAAATTTCCAGACAAATTTACAAAAGAAAAAAACAGAAAATAGAAGTGCATATAAAAGATCCATACTCTTGCAGCAATGTTGTTTCTCCTCTGGAGACCATTTTGGAAGACATTGGAAACAAGTGGCTGGTGCTCTAGTCTATTTAGTACAGGAGTGAAGGTCATCAATTTTGAAGCATCTCCCGAGGAATATTGCATTAAACTCCCACTAGCTGCCAGTTATGGAAACAACAAGCAGATATTCAGCTAAAGAACATTTCACTAATCCAAATAATGGGTTATACATTGCATCCTAATAATTGCAATAAAGGAAAGAAGAAACAACTAAAAGATATTAAGCCAAAAAAAATTTCACTAAATCTAATAATGTGAACAGCTATCATATATACGCTGACCTGATTCACGCTTACCTTGATATCGTTATCTCAAAAGCACTTCTTCATGAAAATGAAACCTAAAAGAACCAGGGAAGAAGGGAAGACGAGGAACACTAAGCCTAAGTTGCATTTTAAGATGCAGATTATAACTTCACATATCAATTCTCTGAATATATAGGTTTAGACACATCAGCTCTATGCAGCACAACCCCTAAATAGAACAAAATAAAAGCATCATCCATTCCACTCAAAATTCTAGCCCCAGTTCCATCAAGCCCCCACTAGGTTCAGTTCTTTCCACAAAACTGGAACTTAAACAAGGAAAGAGGATTCAAAACTATAAATTATCAAGTCAGGCAACAGGAAGCCTCCTTAAAGAAGATAAATACAAAAAAAAAAAGAGCAAAAATGAATCGAACCATCTGAGTACACTAGAAGTAGAAATTTTAGAATATGCTTACCATGATTTATGTTCATTAGATAAACATGCTCCCCACTATAGCTAAGTAGAACCTCTTCTCCATTAGGGCTAAATGTAACATGAGTTAAATGCAAACTTGAATGTCCCTGAAAGGCAAAGAAAACAAAGATTGAATTAATACAACAATAGTTTCACATAACACCAGCAGTGGTTTAGTTTAAAGTTAACATATAATGACACCTTAAAGCCAGAGAACAGTGTTACTAATGGGAATGCCAAAAGATAACAATCAGCAGTTTCCAATTAAATGATCCCTAATAACACTGTTTAACTTAAAATACCCAACAAAACTTTTTTCCATGTGAACAATAAATGAGAAAAAAATTCCCATAAGAGGAAACTAGTGAATACTGACCTAATGAAGATGAAAACAAAATAAGCTCACTCACTTACCCCAAAAAAAATAATAATAAAAAATAAAAACAGAGAACAATTATCTTTTGCAAATTGAATTGATAAAACTAGGTCCTGATGAGCAGAAATCATAAAACTTACCAACATATTTCCAAAAAAGAAGTAAACAAGAGTAACTAACAAAGAAATTCAAAACTAACATGATCAGAAAGATGCATTGGGCAAAAATAATTAACACAAGGAGGTGGTGATGATCTTTTCCGGCAGGAGGTCAGTGGTGGCAGCATCCTTCTATCATACAGACGAGCAAATGCATCACTGCAAACATTCAAAGACAAGATTAGTGGAGAAAATAAATCAAAAACTTTAAGAAAGGGCAGATTAGCCACATACTTCCCACCAACAAGGAGCAAGTGAGGTCTAGTAGAACTAATATCACAAGATTTTAAGGCCAGTGTATGTCCAGGAGGATCAGCTAATGACCTCTTTGCCCCACAACGCAAGTCAAGCTGCCAAAAATAAAAATGAAAGATTGTGAATGATTTACAATTCAAGGGGGTACGATACAGAGCAACTATGATACACGAATGTGACATATCTATTAAACTAACTCATTATGCAATTCTACAATGCCAAACTTGAAAATTTTGACCGAAGACAAATATTGGCAAATAAAATGAAAATTTTCAAGCTACACCAATAACCAAATGACCTTGAGATGAGAATCCATTGACCAAGAAATCAAGGGATGTCATTTTGTCAACTAACTAAAGTCCCTTCATGCTGTCTAAAGTGATGGTAAATATAACATGATGAGCTATGTCATCAAGACCAGATCTACATAGAAATAATGTCTTTCAATTTAGGTCCAAAAAACTCTAGGATTCCATAGGGTTTCAGACATTCAGAAAGGCTCATTGAATGGTTGTCCAAAAGAAGAAAATGAATTTCTATCAACCAGGTATCTGGATTGGCAAGAAATAGGAAGAGGAACAGATATATTGTTCTGCATCAAAGAAAAAAGTCATAGTGCTGCATAGAATCTACAGAGAAGGAAACCAATGCCATATAACAACCACAACAACATTTATACCCAGGTGAAGACACCCAGTCAAAACTCGCTAAACTTCTGAAACAAGCATTTTATAGATACCAACATATTAGCAATCAACATGCCACACTGACTAGGTGGTACTACTACTCAACAAACAAAGTTCACATAGATATATCTACAACATGTAAATGAATAAAAGGAAAACCCTTTTTATGTAACGTGAGTCTCACTAGGACATTGCGACACTCATGGCGAGAAGATCCTGCAGGAGGACAAGAAGTGCCCTCCCGAAAGTCATGCTGTCTCAGAGTTCCATCTTCACTGGCACTCCAGACCACATTGGGGTTTCCAACTTCAACCTGAAACAGGAAAGAAATGCAAACTACAGCAGAAGCAACCAGATGAACATTCATGTTTGGTTGTTTTACCATGTAAAGCAACATTAAATGTTGAAAATTTAACCACTTCCCATGTTTGTTGGCCAATTAAATTATTGCTCCATTTATCAGTCATATATGCAATAAATCTTACCGCTAGTTTTTTAACCCTTCTTGTGTGACACTGATAGAGTGCTGATGGAGAAATAGCACCATCATTGAGCCCTCTCCCATTTAAGTGAGACAAATTAAATAATCGAACCTGAAAAAAAAATTAGCTGTACAAGTTACTAATTATACCTAATAGCAATGGCATAAGAATCCACCATAGAAAAGCTGTTCAACCATGGTCCAAAAATTTACCTCCGCATCTCCAGCTCCAGAGACCACAAGCTCATCAGAAGTTTCAGGAATAAATTTTGTACAAAATATATTAGCAGAATGCCCTGTCTCTATAGAATGCAAAAGCTTTCGACCAGAGTAGCTCCAAATATTAATCTGCAAAAATTAATTCACTAATAAATTTGACATATATTTTCATAAAAGCAACACTCTTCAAACACCAATCTTCACACACCTTTATGAACAGATGAGAGGTGTCAACAAGTTTAGCCTATTAGAAGCCCCTAAACCAACATGTTATTTCCTCTTTCTCGTAATGAAATCCATATGCCAAACTACAAAGCATAAAAATCACTCTCTTCATTATTTTGCAACCACAGTAAGTTGAATGACAAGGCTGACCATTCCTTCAGCAAAAAGGCAAAGTTCCCATATGTTCTAAAAAGTTGACTTTTAAAACCTTTCAGATAATGTATAAAGTATTTATAGGCATCACTACACACGAATGGCACCACCCAATAATCCTGATTCAGAAGGCTTACTAGAAGACTTAAGACTTTAGACTTCACACACTTTCCAAACAAAATGTGAATATCTGTCTGATGACAAGGTAAACTTTACAAACAATCAAATCCATTAAAATACAAAAATCCCAATAGCAAAAATCATCATAACATTATAATTGTCAGGAATATGTCAGGTCAAATTTTCCATACTAAATATTAACTATATTCATGCTACCTATTACAATGCACTGAAGTCTGTACTCATAAACAAACATAGATGTTTCATACCAGTTCGTCATCAGAACCAGAAATCAAAAGTGAACCATTTGAATTCCAAGCCACAGCATTTACACAACCCCGATGTCCCTGTTCAAATAAAGAACACAGTAAGATGATTTTAGAAGGACTAAAAAAGAAGAAAATTAAGCACAATAAAAGATCACCAATTCCAGCCTTAAAGGCATCCTGAAAGAAAACTATTCCATGGACAGCATTAAGTACAGCAAAGTAACCAACACATAACTTGCAATATAATCAAGGAAGGCACCAAATCCAGAAGTTCAAACAACCAACTGCCCTTAAACACCATTATTATGATAGTCTGTGACGCATCATGAGATAAACATGTATTTTTTTTTATTTTTAATGCATCAAAGAGTATAAAAATAAAGGCCCCTATTGCCAAAAGAAAAGATGCATGTTAACTATGATAGCTTTCCAAATGTAAATTTTAGATGATTTAAAAATCCAAATAACCTCCAATTCTCGTTCCAGTGAAAGCCTCCCAATCAAAGACGAATGCATCTGAAAACCGTTATCAACATCCTACACAAACACCAAAACAGCACAGTCACCACCGTAAGTCAACAAAAGGAAGCACTTTATTACAGTCTAAACTGAACAATTTTCCTTTTCAACAAAAAAAAATACAGTAATTGATAACAAGAAACCAATAAAGATTGAAATTGTAAGAGTTAAACTATCAGCAAGACTCAGGGTAAAACGAAAAGTAAAAAAATTTAGGCTCAAATTCTTCAATTCTTGATCAAAATTTCAATAATAAGAACATATATATTAAATTCAGCAACTTCATAGCATTTACCCAAATTCTGAATTACATATCAGATAAACTCAAAAAATTTATATCAATTCAGCAATTCCTCAGAACTGTAGACCACAACAAGAAATTTCCAAAAAAAATGCAATATCAAAGAAAGTGAGGATCAAAATAAATAAAAGAATTGCTTTGAAGAAAGAAAGAGAGAGAAGAGCGAGGAAATACGTGGCGATTCTGGCGAATATCGATGTGCCTGCTCTCGAGTAGATTGTGTACGTTGCCGTCGTGGAACGGCCACTCCTCCATCGAGTACTATTAGAGAAATAAAAAGATAGTCACAAACCCTAGCTCCGATTGGCGGTGACGCTGGTAATAGGCGATGATCAAAGTAATTTCGAACGAGGAAAACAATTTCTAGTTATTTTAGAAGAGCACGGGTTTTTGTTGGGAAATAAGAAGTTTTTAGAATTTTTTTTTAAATTACTATGGCTTGAGACTTGTGGGTTTCTTAAATTTTCTACACTTCTCAGCAGAGAAACAATAATTTAAAAAAAAAAAAAACAGAGTTTTGTTTAGTGAAAGGAGTAGGTTAAGATATTTGCGTGAGATTTAAGCACCGCTGATTTAGGGTTTGACGGTTGATTGGAGGGATCCTTATGTTGGATTTTGTGTGCGGCATAGCTTGGCGGTTTCACTTTTATTGGGCGAGAGATACTTGGGCTTCAAGTATTTTAACTCCCAAAGTGAAAGCAACCCCACTAAGGGCACTAACCCAATTGTTCCGTTTTTACCGAGATTTAGCAAAATATAAATTCTCCATATTTCAATAATAATAATAATAATAATAATAAATAAATAAATAAATATCTTCCTATCTATATGCACCATTTAACTAAATCATAGCTATTTAATTTTTTTCAATTAGTTATTTATTCACATTTAAAAGATATATCTATTAAAATAATTATTAAATTTTAATTTTAATCTAATTATTCATATAATTATTTTTAAAACTAATATTAATAAATTTAAAATTCAACTCTCAAAATCTACCGTCCTGTTGAGTGGATTACAACTTTGGGAATTAAAATTATGGGGCACCAAAGCCTCTTTTGGCAACTGCTCGTTCCACATTCAAATGGCCTAGAAGCCCAACAATGAAGATCCAAACTAAAGAAGCCCAGGGAAACATCCACCCAGGTTTCAAGCCTCAACAGTAAACACCCATTGAAAAGTGATTGTGACATCAAAACAACATCGATTCTTTCAAGAATTAAGAATATCTGCTGATGAAACCTTCATCAAGAGCATTAACAGGATGACACGAGGGACCAACCTTTTTTAGGTGAAAGTCCAGTTTCATGCAACACGGACCATGTTTTCTTTTCAAGTTGATAAACAAATAACCCTTCTTTCTCTGATGACAACAACAGCATTGGATCGCGTTTCAGGCTCAAACCACTGCCCTTCTTTGACGCTATCCTTCTACTCATTAGGAAACATGGATTATAGTATTTGATCACACCGTCCGGCCCCCAATCCCATTTCCCTGTCGAGTGTGGACCTTTCCCTTTGCAATGCAAAGCTGTCACACCTTGGAAAAAGATTTGACCGGTGCTTGGTTTCTACTTTAAACTATTTTTTTCATGGTTTGATTTTGATGACATAACCCTAACGTGATGACTGATGAGATCTATGAAAAATGAACTCGTTGAGAACAGTAAAGGAAATATTAAGGAGAAGAATGAAGTTTCAAGTTACTGTTTCTTTTTTTCGGTTTTCCTGTAGCACTGACTAAAGGACAGCTGGCAGACTGATGCCATTTCTTTACTGACCTAAATAATGCAACTTTTGTGGTCCCATCACCGAAGCTGTCCTCACCATTGAGATGGCAAATTTTGCACCATTTTAGAGGAGGGGCTAGGAGCTAAGACATCGCTGTCTCCATACATAAATGCTCGTTCATGCGACGTAAATACATAGGCATATAGATTAAAAATTACCAACGCAAATATATAATGTCAAAATCAAATCCAGACTCATGAACGAGTGACGTCATGCTAACTTGATTCAAAGCGTTTATGCAATTTACAATTCACATTTGTTTAACTGGAAACATGTTCCATTGATTAACTCCATTATGGCAAGGCATACTAAACGTACAGACATAAAGCATCTATACCACGGCATATCAAATTGATGAAATAGATCGCACGTAAAGCATTGAAAAATACTTTTTAACATGCAGTTGGGCACTACAAAGCTACAACTTTAGGAACTAACATTCAGCATAGGAACAATCTTAAACTCACGAAAGTTATGAACACACGCCAATGGGAGAAGAGTGAGATGGTGTGATCTGGGGCCCTTACGGCAAGTTGTTGCATGATGAATGGGAGAAGGCTCTTTGCTCGTGCAATTTTCTGCATCAAAGAAAAGGGAAACCCACAAGGATAAAACTTGACAAGAATGCAAAAAGTGAGAAGAAAGTGAAGATTGGGACCCAAAACACCCGAGGGCGTGCTCTTAGCCCCCTCCTTTATGAGGGTCCCTCTAGAATAACCAGTCTTCTCATTCACACAGCCGAATCCTCAAGCCCAGGTGTGAGTGTTACTTTCGCTAAACCCCAAGATCTATTAATGATTCACCATTCTTTATTGGGACAAATATATACAGAAAACTATCCTGCTTTCTCTAGAAAATAGAGATTTCAAGCCAAAGCTACTAATTTCCAACTCGCATCATTGAAGAAAGACTTAAGAAGGGGGTTCAAGCTCTCCCCACTATCTTCTGATTATCAACTCCTCCGTTGGAAGACTCCAAATTATATGCGACATATGCAACTCCATGCACGACTCCATAAACTTCTTTATTTAACAAGCTCCATTAACAATGACTAGTAATAACAGATGCCATGCCACCTCTAACACCACTAATAAGAACAGTGGCAACTCATAAAGTACTAAGTTCCATTGTTTTGGCTTTGAGTTTCAGGGATTTCAGGTAATCAATGGCTTCATCAAGAACCACAATTGCATCCTTGCCCTCTCCATCTGGAATTATGCTTCGCAAAACACTCAGAGTCTCACAAATTTTATCCTTTCTCACTTTCTTGTTGCCCGAAGATGAATACATAGCTCCAGATCCAGGATTTTGGCCATTGCCACAGAGGGAATCTGCATCATCCTCATAATCGGAACATCTGTTAGGATTCACTGAACTAGCATTGCCCTTAATCAATGGCACATAATCATTACTGCCATCAAACAGTTTTCGCTTTTTAGTTGTACCAGTAGAGCTAGCAACCTCTTCAGCGCCTCCCTCAAACTGCTCATAGTGAGCTGTCATTGTACTAGGTGAATGACCTGTGCTCGTAACTTCATCATCATCAGTATAATCACTATCATCATCTGAGTAAAGCAAGGCATTGAGTTCTTCAGTGTCCTCGCGCATTTCACTTTGCACATCAGTCCCATTGTCATCAACCACATCTGTAGATATTAGTCCTTTGTGAAAATTCGGGTTTACTTTAACTATAGGATTCTCCCCATTAAAGTTACAAGCAGGAGGCGATTTTGGACCCCAAGAAGTGCACTTAATAGGAGTCCCAAAAGCAGAACTAAAGATCAGGGTAGTTTGATCACCAGATTGATCAAAAACAAGGAATCTCTTCTGAGCACAGCCAGACCCTGCCTTGGGAATAACGTTTTCCAAACGAGTCTCATAAGGGTTAGCTCGGTGTTGCTCTTTCAAGAAAGAGTTTGAAGTAGGTGCAAAGACCTGTCGAAAGTGGGGTAAACAATAAAACCAACCACGGGATTCATTAACTTGGCCAACCCGCAAGTGAGGTAATTCAGGATGTCCATAAACCGGCAAAGTCTCAGGGGAGAAGACCATATTAGTGCCAGAGTTTATGAATTGAGGATTAGTACTTGGCTGCCCCAAAGGATGTGGAGCAGCCAAAGAATTCAAGTTGGGTGATTGCCAATCAAATTGCTGTTGAGGAAACCAGGATCCACAGCCTTCTCCCATCCAACCAGAACAATCACCTAAAGATACAAGAAAGTCAACTTAAAAAAGGATATTCCAAAGAATAAAAATTAGATATTCATAAAACCAAGTATTAGCAATACATACCAGAATTCAGATGCTGTGGCGGTAGAAATAGCAGTTTGCTTGCAGTTACTCTCAAAAACAAGGGAAAAAACTAAAAACTCCAGCTTAACTTGAACACGGAAATGTAAAACCAATCTACGTAACGGGCTTAAGCAAATGACGGAAATATTCAGCCTGGCAAAAACCCAAGAAAGGAAATTCAATAAAAGCTTTGCGTAAACTTTCTCACCGATTATCAATGGCCAAAAGAAAAAGAATAAGGAATCTCGTACATTAAGAATATAAATATAAACAAATGATATGCACACATCACCAAGCATAAGGGTATCTAATTCTTTCATAAGAAATTGTACAAAGAATATCAGAGTGAAACGAGAAATAAAGAAAGAAAAACAAACCTGGCAATCCTGAAGAGGTTGAAAGCATGCTATAACTCTAACTACAATGGTGGCACTCCCCGCAATACCATTTTCGTACTTCAATGCCCGGAATCTTGTTTGGGTCGCTGCTTGGCACACCATAACTACGTCCCAACCCTTCAATATGATACAAAAAAAAAAGGATCTTCCAGACGAAAACGTATCCACAACCCCTAATCCGTAATCCAGATTAATAAAAATTGAACTACTACTAAAAGAACAAGACCTACCAAAGACAAATGATAACTATTGGATTAGAAGTTTGAGAAATGGGTTTGAAGGTGTTCAGCTAATCTGGCGGACATAACATGGAACGACAATGAAAAAAGTGGATCCCATTGAAGATAGAATAGTAAGACTATAAAGTAAAAAAAGGAGGGGTCTTGCCGGTCTAGATTGCGGAATTACAGAATCACTCTACAATACAAGTTCAAGGAGATAACTTTTCGAAACACATCAACAGAAAGACTCAACCACCACCGCATACTGTTCCTTCTTCACTGCAAATCGCCACGGTCCACTTTTTTTTGTAACCCCCCTCCAAAACAACCTATTCAAGAAACCGGCAATGGCCAACAGATTCATTATTTTAACATCAGATACATAATCTCTTAACTTATATCATAGTATTAATCTAATGCATAACAAAAAGAAACAAGAAGATTTCATAGTAGCTTATAAGGATATTAGAGCTAGGACTGTAACTGTTGAGATCAAGATGTAAGCTTTTAAAACCTTTAGCATTAGATTTACCTTGGGTTTCTTTTTTCCCTTTTGGAATTTCGTCAAATTCTTTCCAGGACTCAAAAATTGAATATTACATCAAATCTAAAAAGAGAAATTACATGAAAACAAACTGGCCAAAGCTATCAAAAATGGCTTAAAATTTAAATACAAGCGATAAAGGAAGTAGCAGTAAAAACAAATGAGCTGAAAAAACCCAGCAAGAAAATCAAAGGCTTGTTACAAAAATCAACAAATCTTAACAGATTAAAGCAAATGACTTGGAAATGAAAAGCAGGCCAACAACTTACAGAAATGAAGAAAGCAGAAATAATTCAAACCCCGAATGAAGAAAACAAAAGAACCAACTACAAATTGCTCGAATCCTTAAGCTTCGAAGAGACAGAGAGACTCCGCAAGGTTTTCTTTTTGGAGATTACAGTCAAAAGGTCGAAATTTAGATTGCACGGAGGCTGTGATTAACACTGGTACAGATATAGAAAATAAAATTGACGAAAATATCCTTGAAACGCGAAAAAAAAATAAAAATAACAAAAAATTTTAAAATTAAAAAGAAAAATATGGTGATAAAAGCTTTGATACGTGCGTGCGTGAGGAGTGCACGCAAGGTATTAGTGAACAATGATGAAGCACAGTTTGAGTCCGTGTGGTGGGTGTTGATGTTGGGGCCCCAAGCGGGTGGTTTTATCATTACCCCTTTCGGGTTTAGGTTTTGGGTTTTATCTTTTGGATCCAATTTGTTCAAACCCGAAACTCTTTTTATGGGATATGGGATGCAAATGCAATGCAACAACGATATACCATCATGCTAACTGATACTTTTGTATTTCCTCAACTACCCCTCGTACTTTCCCAAATGATGTAAGTGGAACCCATTTTTCCTTCAAAATGAAATATATATATATATATTAATTTTGGCATATGAAATTATTTTATAAATGAAAAACAAAAAATGTTCAATAAATTTTATCATATGTGATCATTATTTCTTAGTATATATTATATCAATAAAATTCAAATGTAACACCAATTTTATGCTAGCTTACACCTTTTCACATAAATTTTAAGTTAATATGTAGAACTAATTGATCTTAATATATGATTCTCAAAGCATGAATCATAGAAAGATGATGGAGCCCCATCACACTGATCAGCATTGGGTACATCATTTTTGAACTCACTCCTCCACCTGACACTAAATTTAAGTTATTGAAGCAATGTCAAAGTTTAATATTGTCATGGTTCACATAGCATTGAAAATTTAGTGTCTATTTGGATTCCATTGCATATTCGATGCAATACAATTGAATTTGTTGTACCATCAATTGAATTTAAATATTAATTTTAATAAAATTCATTTAATATAATTTTTTTATTAAAATTTTTTTTCAATAGCAAATGCAATAATTTTGTTTTCAATTACAACTATAATATTTATTATTATTTTTTAATCTTATTATAATTAATCTCACCGTTCGTTTAAATGAACTTTTAATTAATTTAGTTATGTAAATTACATTGAATATTGAATAAAACTATTTTTTTACTATGTATATGATTTGATTTTGCATATTTTCGATCACAAAAATTACATCTATCTACCTAATAACATTGGAATTTTCCAATTTGAATCTAGCAAGAGATCCTATAATACTAGAAAAAAATAACTCATGGTACTCCCTTCTTTCATTTTTTAATAAAATTGGAGACATGTGAATTGCTTTATATTTAAGAATTAAGACTGATTTTGCACATTGAATATGAAATGAAGCACACAATAATAAAAGATCAACACATCACATCATTCCAAGACAAAAGTTGACCTTGATTTAACTCAAGTGAATCACAAAAAAAATGTGCTCAAAAAAAGAAAAAAATAAATGCAAATCACTAAAAATTGAGTGCACTTCCCCCATAAAAGCAGAAACAAGTGGAAAACAACTTGAAATTAAATGCATGTTCAAAACTTGGGAATAGATGCAAAAAAGGAAAAAAAAAAAAAAAAAACCCAAAAAAATTAAAATTGTAATGAGTATATATAAACTATAAAGAGATGGCATCCAATGTTAGACATGAGCACCAATAATTTGAAGCTTGACCATTCAAAGCATGAATCATAGAAAGATGATGGGGCCCCATCACACTGATCAGCAATGGGTACTATCATTTTTTAACTCACTCCTCCACCTGAGAGTATATCTCCTGTTATCATCCATTGGATAGCCTGGCCTTGGCTTTAGGATGGGTGGTGAAAAGCCTTTTCTATCGGCTTATAGGCCCCCCAATAATGTACAATACTAATACTTTTCATTGATGTGATACATGGATGTGGCTAAACCATCAAAAATGCCCATCAAATGGGATGGCCCCAGCCCCAAATCCTTAGGACTTTTTTATTATTTTTTATTTATATATTTCATTTTAATTAAAAAAACAAATTTTAATTCTACTATTTGAATAAAGAGATATACCTTACCAATGTATTGTCTGAATAATAAAAAGTTTGATTTTCTTTGAATAAAATTTTAATTTCAAATATTATAAATAAAAAAATAAATTTGAAAGAGGTTGTTCATGAAATTTAATTTAATTTGATTTTAAATTAATTAAGGTCCAAAATAATTATCAAATAAAAAAATTAAAAAGATATACATATATTAAATTAAACATTAATTTTTTTAAATTGTAAAAGAGCTTTAGATTTTTTTTTTTATGAAAAGAATCAAAATCAAGAACATCCCCACCATTACAGACCTTCAAAGTTAAATCAATGTCATTCATTAAAATATAGTATTCAAATCTTACAAAATTGGAAGAAAATGAATGAATGGATGATTCAAATGTACAATGGAGTAAAATCATTCAAGAAGTTGGCAATTGATTTATCTTTATATAGGAATATATGTCAAGAGGTACTTAATGATTAAGCATTTCTTTTAAATAGATTTATTGGAGCTTGATTAGTATAGTTTATATATAAGGATTAAAATCAAATTTATCAAACACTGAATTTTATTCCTATATTTTAATTTTGTTAAATTTCATTGATTTTTGAACAAACAAAGAATGAAATTAAAATATTATGCATAATATTTCATTGTTGCCAATGAAATATTTATGTCAATTCGTTATTTTTATTTATAAATAAATAAAATTAAAATATAATGATAAAATTTTATATTAGTTCATAATATGATAACAAAATGAATGTTCACTGGTTGTGCAATGTCCTAAAGTAAGCAGACCAAACAGAATCTAATTAAAAAAAAAAAAAAGAATAAATAAATGAAAAGGGAAAAGGGAAAAGGGAAAAGGAAAGGCTGCTATAGATGAAGTGAGGGGGCATGGTTTGAACTTTGCAGCCAAAAAGAATAATAAAAAGGGAGGAGAGACCCGTGATTTAATCACCTGAAAGGGATCTTATGAACAGATAAGAAGATCCATTGTCCACAATTATATATGAATTTCCAGCATTAAATATAATAATACAGATAATAGTATATATACTTTCATGCCTTCCTGTTTGGAGTGGAGGGAACAATCACCACGCCTTATAAACTTTTCTGCTTCCCCTCCCTATCCCATTGGGTCTTCCCTTTTGGTAGCACTAATCCCACTCTCCTATACATTTATACATGTATGAGATGTAAAGCAAGGATTCCTCTTCCTCTGCACGTCTCATCTGTTTTTATATAATCAATCATCACCTTTAATACTCTTAATTAATTAGTAGGTCACGAGATTATAGTGAATAAGTAAGGGTTTGAATTTCACCGCACTTTTAATGCATTACAATTTGTGTTTATCATATGTTAATTCAATTTAAATGTCAATTTTAATGAGATTAATTAAGTATAATTTTTATAATTTTTTAATTATAATTACAATAACTTTTATTATTATTTTTAATCTCATTACTCGTTCAAATGAATGATAAATCACATTGTGATGACCCCAAACTAACATCATTATTTATATGGATAATATGTTCAAATAATCTCATAAAACTATGACAGAATATCTGTTAATGTGATATTAAAATAAAAATTGATTTTGATAAAAATTATTTTTAAAATAAAAATTTAAATACATTAAAAAATATATATATATATATATATATATATCAAACTACCTTGCGACCTAATTGGCTGCTTAATCTCATTATCATTGTCATAATATTGAAACTTTTCCAACTTTTTTCCTATAAAATAGTATCAATTATCAAATAACGCCCCGAGATGACACAAGAGTGGCTGTTGTGGGTTGACCACTTAACCGAAAGTCTCACAAGGTTTTTTTGTTTTTGTTTTTTAATACAAACTAAAGGGCCTATTAGCTTAGCAGTGAAGGAAAAATGGATGATTTTGTGTAACGCACCACCACATAATATTAATTTCACTATATATTGGATTGGGAGCTGCTGCATTATTCACTTTCTAGTGGACCATCCATTTTATATATGGCAAGGATGACCCAATTTCTTCTTCATTTTCATGTAAAAAAATATTCCAATCTAATTTATTCTCCTCAACCCTATCTAGCTAATACAAAATCTTGACTGCCCAAGGCTTCAAAAACTTTAAAAGTCAAATTGTGCCACACTTAAACAAATTTCCATGTTTTCTGCCACTAAAACTTGTTTAATCAAAGTCCACAAAATTTTCGTTACCAAAGAAAGGAAGTGCTTAGTGATTACCCCCATTTTTGGCTACGAAAATGTGACACGTTAGAGCTAACATATACTGACTGACATTGGGATTTTTTTATTTGTTTTTTCATTTTTGTTTTCCTTTTCCCTTTCCCCTTCCAAAGCAAAAGAGAGGAAAAGGAAATCCCTTTTGGAGTGGCCATATATATAAAACACAAGGCATTTGAGTTTTGGTGGGAGCGTGGGACATGAGACCATGGAGCCATTTGGTTGTGGATTCTCCAACAAAACATCCACGCTTAGAAAGCTAAAAACAATCCTCCTCCCTCCACCACTCCAAAGCCGCACTAAAATAAATAAATAAATAATTTTATTCTTTTTTCTTTTATAAAACATCTACAAATTACCAATATAATGGAAAATGATTAAAAGGAAGGAATTCACGTGAATTAGTTCAATTAGTAAGGAAAAAATTTCTTTTTTTCGTTAACTGAGGGTTTGATCTTTAAAAAAATTACTTCAAAAATCATCAGGCACCTCCCCCCTCTCATATTTTATGCTGCAATTCTCCTTAATATTTTTCTAAAAATAAATAACCCATTACAAATGATTGTCTACCCTAGCTATTCTTATTTCAAACATGATTTTATAACATAACACGAAAATTATATGAATAAAAAATAAAAAAATAAAATGATTTATAATTTTAATAAAAATTATAAATAAATTTAATAAAATAAAAAAATATATTTTTATATCAATATAAATTATGACACGTAATTTTTATATAAAATATAATATAAATATATAAATTTTTAATATTTTATATGATATAAATACATGAATTATTAAATTTATTTTATTTTGAAAG